CCTTTTCGTACCATGTTGCAGAACAAGGCATTCTTGGTTGAGTGGTTAGCACACAACACGGAGCACGGGCCCGACATCGTTGCCTTTGCAGGAGTCGGTACAGCAGAATCCATGTTTGCTTATTGGGGAACCTGGGCATGATCCGCATGTCCACGAATTCTGATGCACGAGTTTTCAGTTTTGCATATTTTCAATTCCTCAATTCCGTGATGCGCGTGTTTGCACTTGACCCATTTTTAATCTCAAGAAATCTGTGTCTGCCTCCGCAGCCACTTTCGGTTTACAACCAATCCGACCTTTGCAATCTTGTATGCTCGATCATCTCGTTGACATGCTCATTCTCAACCTGATGTTTGGACGATCCGGCGATGCGGCACCTGTGCCAAAACCGATGATCAAGAGACGGGCGTCACCATTGAAGGAATCCCCTGCTCGTGATGAGGAAGATGAGACATCCGATTGCCCCATGGAGCAAGTCGCTGATGAGAACCCATCCGCCTCTCAACAACCCGAGAATGTCAACATGGAGCAGGTTGATTATGATCCAGATTCCGACGACGATGATTCAGATGAAGAAGGGCATCCTCTCGAAGGAAGGCCTCTGTCAAAGGCGATGCCACATCCGAAACTTGTTCCAAAGTCACCGCCACCGACATTGAGGCTTGTCTCCAAGGTCAAGCCAGCACCAAAGAACACCCTGGATGACGAGACGGAATCCGACAATCATCCTGGTGATCGACCTGCGCTTCCAAGGCGACCAGTGATGCGGCCTGTTCTCACATCCAACGATCGGTGGTTTGTAACATATGGATCGGATACGAACACCAGCCTCCAGAAGGAATCCGTGCACCCAGGACCGTTCGGAAACTCAAAATTCCTGACTTTTGTGCACGAGTACTACAAGGAATGATGTCAATCCGGACTTCCACTTCGTTCCTGAGCACGAGAGACCGCATGGAGTTAAGGTATTCTGGTTGAAGCAAGATTCAACGATTACTGGCATCCGACACTCCAAGGTGAAGGACCTCATGCAGAGAAGCAATACATGGACTTCATCAAGAAGGTCTACAGCATCTGCTGCTAACAGCAATGCTCAATCCGAAGTTTACGGCACCGACATCATCCCGATGGTATGCCACAATGGCAACATTGATCTCGATAAGACCGTCCAGAATGTCGAACAGGTTTGCAAATATTTCCGCATGGAAACATCCAAGGCGAAACAGATCACAGATCTCACCCTCTGGCGAATTGAGAGAATGAGCAGACCGTTTTCCGGATGTCTTCGACATGATCCAAGGCATGGAATCCATAAGGAATGCAAACGGCAGGTGGAAATGGGTCCTGATGGATCCGTCGAGCTCTATGACGCATTGACCTGCATCACACATGCCAGGAACTTCATTGGAAACAAGCCAGGACTTCTCTTGATGGCTATGTTCCCGAGCTATGGAAAATCACGTTTCGAAATTGCATTCGTATTTCCATCCGTGGACGGGACATATAATGAGCGCAAGGCACGGGGAGAAATTGTTCCAAGGAATCGATGGATCGACAAGCTCAACACCAGATCCGCACAAAGTGCACCCAGGCCCGATGGCAAGGACTTCTATGTTGATCCAGAGATGGGAATCCATTCCGCCAAGTCCGCATCCGTCAAGATCCAAGGCGCCTCATGGAGATGAAAGCACAGCTGAGCCCAAGTACAGAATGCGAAGGCCGGCACCACCATCCGTTGAAGAAGAGAGAAAGATCAAGCCGTTCTCGAGGAAGCCCATCACATTCATGTTCCATGCAACCTATGGAAGTCAGCTCTACAGCATCATGGAGCACGGGCTCAAATCTGGGAAGTCCCAGTCAAACCCTTCGGGGAGAATGCACGTTCACATGGCATGCATCGATGACGTCATCCTCGAAGACGATGAGTCAGAAACCGCATTGACCCATGTGCCAGCAGGAAGAGATGCGTTGCTGATCCTTGCATTTCTCAAGGACCAAGACTATGGCATCCGCCTTTCCGAAGAGAGAACAGCGTTGATAGACAAAACCATCGAGGCAAGAAACATTGTTGCAGCATTCGAACCTGATGGCAGCCTCATGGCGAGCAACAAGTGCATCATGAAGAAGCATCTCGATCATGAAGATTACGAGATGTACGACACCAAGATCCGCGAAATTCGCCGATGCCTTCTTCACGTATGTGAATTCCACCAAGCACAACAAGGAAAAAGATACCTCCTCAGAGACCAAGAAGAGACGGCATTCCACCGATCAGGACTCCACCGAAGGAGAAATGATGGAACCCTCCAGGAAAAGATCCGTCAAGCCAAAGGTCATCGTGGAATATCACAACTCAGAGAACCTAGAAGAGTTCATCCAAGAACTCAAGGGAATCTATCTCGAAATAGATATGAACAAAAAGGACGCAGAGGAAGAGCTCGCGGGGATCAAAGAAAAACTCAAACGCTTCATGAGCCAGTTCAACAAGGATCCGAAAGGAGCTCATCCCAAGTTGACAGAGTGCGAGAGAGCCTCACTGGCACATGTCGATCCTGATGTCAATCTCGGTGAAGAAGAATTCTACTTCCCTCATCGAGGAGAATGTCCCACCATTGACGAGTACAAGCAAGCTCAACCAGGATCCGGATATCCGATCAAGCTGCCGCTTGGACTGAAGAAGCTCAGGTCACATGATGACCCAAAAATCATCCGAGCCTATGCCGATATCCTGGGATCGCTGATGCAGCCGACTGACCGTCCTTCCGTGGACCATCTCAACATGCATGAGTTCACCTCATCCATACATCCATAGGGATCAACATCCTTACCCTGATCCATGGAAACCTCACAAGGAATCCAAAGTTGGACAACAGGGAGGTGTACAACATGCCGATGAAGGATCGACCGATCGTCAAGATGATGATGCAGAACAGTGCACACATCTTATGCCTGAATGAGGCAGACGCATTCTTCAGTCCAAATGATGAGAAATCCAGGGAGCTCATCAAGACGCTCATCCGATACGGTTACAAGGGCATTCTGATCAAGCAATGGTCATCCAGACCGATCGCATGCTTTGTCCGCGGCGGACCCTCTGCACGAGTGGAACTTCTGGCAAGACACATTTCCACCAGGAGCCAGAATTGGGGAACCACATTCGGAATGTTCAGATGTTTCTTCGGAACCAAGGAAGATGACACTGATCCCGAATACGAAATTCCGACCTCGGATTGCTTGGCAACCACAGGAACATCCATGTTTACCGAATCCAAGAAGTACATTGGATCGAGATTGCCAGCACGCACCATTGTCACATCTGGGAATGTTCGATCAAAACCTGATCCGCATTTCATGTACAGGTGATGACGGACAATGGATTTCAGGGTGCACGAAGTCTCCACTGTATACTCCATTCTGTCCACGAGTGGCAAATTCTTCGTCGCATTCCACAGTCTCTGATATGCTCTCATGAGGATGTTCACGAGACCGTTGGGTGGATTGTAGACATGCTGGAGTTTGCTGTAGGTGTTCGCCGATTTGTTGGCGTCTCCGGTGATCGCATCGCATCGGTACAAGGTCACGAGCGGCATGATTTCATTCTGAAGATCTTCCTTTGCTGCTCCATGGCTAAGTGAAGGATGGATGTGGAAGACTCCAATGGTTGCGAATGGTAGATCTGCCCTCGTTATGTGGCGGTTGTCATACTCGTAGTATGACTTGTCGGATGATTTCGGGATCATGCCACGAAACTCATCACTCTGCTCGATGTGGAGAACGACGATCTCCTTGTCTCGGCCATGTCCTTGGAGATGATGACTATCGTATTTGGATGGGGCAAAACGAACATCCAGCAGGACTTCCGGAAGATCGAGATGAACAGTATGGATGATGAACAACTGGAATTCATGCGGAACCATCCAGACAAGGCCATTTTCGATTACCAGGTCTCATCCGCAGAGCGCTACAAGCACGTGAACAACGAAATGTTCATGAACGGCTCGCAGGACTCCGACTCCCACAGTCCTCTCATGGTTTACATCCGCAGCAAATCTGCAACCAGTAAACGCAGCTCTGAGAGATACCAGGAGTACGTCAAGAAGAGACAATCATCCTGCACCACGCAGGAGTACAAGCACTACAACAAGCAGTGGGGATATCAGAAGCAGTGGAAGGACTATAGCAGTTCGACCTGGAATGATTATGGAGACCATGGCAGTCAATCCGACAGCAGGCGCCGATGGTATCGTCGATCCGACTGACCATGAAGATACGTTCAGCACCACGAGCAATCCAGATGATTGATCCTCCTCGTCTACAAGACTATGCCATGAGTGAGTGATCAATAGTTTCACAATTGTTCCGCGTGTACATAGCGTTGTACATCACCCTTTGATACAATTAGGTATCCAAAAAGAAGCGTACATAGTGTTTCCCATTTCGAAGGCCAAGACATTTCATCCAAGCAGAAAAAGGATGAATTCGGCTCTTTTAATCACATGGCTACGGCACACATTAAGGCTACGGTCAAAGGCCATGAAGCCAATAGTATTTCATACTTTGTGCTGGAGATCAAAAGAAATTTGTGTCTGTTTTGTGTTCTGTTTTCCAGACCATTGGTCTCCCGCAACATTTGGCTCAAGGCCCCTTTTGCATAATCACGACCATCCGAGCGTGAGGACAAAAGAGCCATTGCAGGCCGCTTACAGGATTATCCACAAGACAATCCACCAGGGACAATCCATCCTCCAATCATCCATTCTCTCCGGAATAGATCCAGGGACCAACAACGACCTCAACTACCACAGGGTTCCAGTTCCCTCCGGGGATAGGCACCTGGGGCAGTGGGCCTCACCCCCCCCCCCAAAACAAAAAACAAAAAACGGGGCAAAGCGAGAGACCCCAAATTTTTCCTCTCAACCCAACCCCCCCCCCCCCCAAAAAAAAAAAATGAGCCAAACCCGAGAGCCCCCCACAACGGCCAGCCGAAACCACCCCCCCTCCTGCGGAAAGCCGCCCCGGGTGTGGGAGTCCCCGCAGCAGGCGATGCTCAGCTGCTGGGCAGCGGCGAACTCCTCCGCCTGTCGTCGTCTCGTCGTCCCAACGCAAGGCGGCGCACCGTCGAAGCAGGCGGACGCATGCCACTTCGGCGAGAGAAAGACGTGCGGCGAGCCGAGTTGTGGGGCGACCGAGTTGCGGGTGAGCCATCAAACAAACAAGAACCGATGCCCCTGAACAACTGTTGGACCAGAAGGGGAGCAACTGGCGCACCATGCGCACAGGGGCAAAGGTAGGCCTTACATATAGCTGGTTTGGGTACAAATCGGTACATTTCCACCAACACCTCGCGATATGGGTGTCTTTTTTGGCTTCGGCCCCCAAAATGGCGCAACGGTTTTCCTTTTGGTGTCCCTTTACCCTCAAGAAGGCAGAAAAACCAAAATCTGTGTGTTTTCCTGTGGGTGTCCATCTAAAAGCCACCAACACAGGGGGGGGAGCCCGACAAAACAGGACATACCCATATGCATTTTGGGGGTGGATGAACATCCATTTGCCACCTTTGATGTTCACCAGGGGTTTCGTGGGTCTTGACCATAGGTGTCCTTTTTGCAAAAATAGATGGTCCTGGTTGATTGAACCACCAGGTAAACCAGGAATCGCCCAACCGATTTTTCAACCAATCAAGCAACAAGGACACCTATGGTCTTGACCCACAGCCATCTCCGCTTGGTTCCGCCTGCTCCTTCACGGGCAAAGTCACCGTGGTTCCCATGGCCTGGAGCCCCAGAGGCGCCCCTTGGGCGCCCCTTGGGCGCCAGCGACTCGAAGGTTCTTTTCGGGGGCGGTGTCTCGTTTCTTGGAACCCCTTCTTTTTTCTGGGTGCGGATTTATTCTTGGAATTTCAAAAAAAAAACGAGGAAAAAATGCTAAAATAATTACCCCTCCTTTTTTTCTTGGCCATCCGCAGAGGAGCTTTCTTGGCCGCAATTTCTTTCTTCTTCTCGTTTCTTGGCCATCCGCATATGGGTGTCTGCCCAAGAAAAACCCAACCAAGTTGCTTTGTCGCCTTGTGTCTGAGTCACAATATTTCAAAACCTATCGGTATCAAAATGGTCTAATTTCCCAGAACCATGCTTCAAGAATTGAGAAGGCGGATATCCGCAACAATTTCTGGCTGGGACTGCCCTTACTAACCTTCATCTACCCGGGTTTTGATTGTGGCTCATCGTTTCTTGGCCGGCATCCGCATATGGGTCTACGCATGGGGACCCCTGTTTGGATAGTGTCGCCCCGTGGAAAAAATGAGAACATATGTCCAGTGAAACTGCTTCCCTTTGAAACCAACAGGGGAAAATACAACATAGTCTTAAGCAAATGGAAGGTGCCATCCTTCCTTTTCGCCGTCGCTGCAGTGCCTCAAATCAAAAGTTGGTCAATATACCGGTGGTGTCTAGTGGTTCCAAAAAGGGAAATGCGGGACAACTCGGTCTAGGTCCTCAAGTAGAGAGGTTAGAATAAAGGTACTATTTTTTTCTGTAGTCTATTTTAGTAGGCGGTTCCCCTCCCAACCAAAAAAGTTGGGTGAGAAAGGGCACCTAGCCGGGGCATCTTGGTGCCAAACAGCCCGTTGTCGCCTTTCCAGCGTGGCAACCAGGAATCGCTTCCTTTAAATTGGCATCACATGCAGTGTTTTGAGGGTACCCAGGGTAAAAGACACTCACAGTGAAACATCTCTTCTTCTCTTTGTTCCCCTGGATTCAACACATGGGTCGTCAAAATCGGGTCATGGGCCCCTTTCTTGGCTGGTTTCCTTTTGGTCTCCCTTTACAACGCCAGAAAAGAGGGGGTGCCGGGAGCCAACTCATTTTCAGTGGGCAGCCGGGGGGCCAGGGTCTGATTGCTGCAACACGCAATTCACACGAAATCTCGGATCGACCCGGCATCCCCCTTACCTTAGAAGGGAGCGGGGTGCAGTCCCCCAATTCCACTTCGCTAGTGTTCTCCACAAAAGGGGAAATGGAAGCATTAGGGTGTGTGCCCCTGTTTTGGTGGTTTCAAAGAGAACCAAAAGGAAAACGACAATGTTGACACACCGCCTGGTTTCAAGCATCCAGGCAGCACCCCATGTTTCACCTCAACCGCCCGCCTTATCCGCTCGCGCTCGAATGAAAAAGCGCGCAGCGCGGCTCCGGCCCAATTTTCCGGGCCTGTTTTAGGCGCGCCGTGTTGTTTAGTGGGTGCTGTTCCCATTGGCATTTCCAGTTGGCATTTCCGCTGACGCGAACATGTGGCCTCCCTACCGGCGCTGAGCCGAGAAAATTGCCCAGGCCGAGAGCGAGGGCTTCCGTGGGCCGAACTTGCTGTTTACCAAAATGGCAAACAAACCGAAGTGGGTATGGGTCAAAACTAACCCGCCAGGCGACCGCAAGTCCATGGTTCCATTTACCAGGGTTTTGGGTACATATGTTTGACCCACAGCCAAGTGACTACTAATGTCCAGTTGAGCAAAACGGGAGTGAGACACGAGTGCTCCTGAAACGTGTCCATTTGAAACGAACCCCAAAGACAAGGGTACCAGAAACGAAAACTTCGCACCTAAGTTGTCAAATACCGATGCCTCCACTCACATCCCAAATCAAAAGTCTGGGGGCCGATGCTGAGAGCAGGCAAACGAAAATTCGGTCGATGGTTGCGAAATCCGCTCGCACCACCAGAAACCCTGGAATGATTCCATTTCCCAACGCAACAAACGTGGTTTCAACCACGCGGTAGCTGGGATCAGCGAGATTACCATGGCTGTAACTTGGGTAACTAGGGTTCGTCCCTTTACCATGGTTATAACCTACTTAAGTGAGTGTGAATGTGAACTAGGGACCCGAAATGGTGGACATTATTTGATTCGAATCTGTCCACACGTTTGGACCGGTGGAACAATCATAGCATGTCTTTTTGTATGGGACCCCCCCCCAAGCGGTGAATGTCCTTTTGGCTTCCCTTTAAAGCCACCAAAAAGGGGACCCTCAAAAAAAGACGCACCCCTACCTTTGCATTGATGCATCTCGGAGCTTGTTTCTGCTCAGCTGGTGTCGGGCCGTTGCTGCAGCTTGCTCCGCGCCTGGCGTAGACGCGTAGCATTCACTCAAAAAGACTCACGATTTGAGCACTTTACTTGACTGGAATGAGGACCCCAGCAAAATCACCATAGTTGTTGCCTGGATAGTGGAAAACAAAGGCCCCAAAAAAGCAAACGAACAAACAAAGAAACAAACAGAAGAGCTAATTCTGGGGAAGTTTCATGAGAACCTGACAAGGGAAATTGTCCCTTGATTGACGTTGCAAGTTACAAGTTCCCCTTTTAAGAGCCCAATCCAGGCGAAACAAGGTCATTCTCCAGCTCCCATTTACCCCTGGATTTCTGGCTGCAAGTTAGAAGCATTGCTATGCAGGGACGAGTCAGCCCAATACTAGTTGGCTGCTCGAGAGGTGCTGAGGTAAACACCAATTCGGGCGTTCAGAGCCTTTCTCTCATCAACTTGCAGTGCGAAAGGCTCCACAAACCACGTATGTCGCACCATGTTGTTGCTGCTCCTTTGGTGCCCCCCCCCCCGGCCATGCAAAGAGGAGAACAGGTTCTGTTTTTGGCTTCTATGTCAGCTTCCAGCAGCAGGCCATGTGACCACGATCAGTGAAACCCTTTCAGAAGTCTCGGAGGACAAGGGCTTGCCAAACTGGCAGCCAAACCCAACCCACCTCAGCAGCCCAGAGTTGGGGACCAGGAGAACAACAGTGGCACCCTTTTGATGATCGTTCCTTTTTTCTCCCCTGAGTGGGTTGGCCAAGCAAAGTAACCCAAACTTTGGTTTACCACTTTTGTTTGATGATAGTTACTAGTTGTTTTTCTCCCTCCCTTCCTGGGTTGGCCAAGCAAAGTAACCCAAACTTTTGTGTACCAGAAAAATGGCCACCAAACCCAAAAGGTGTCAAGTCCAGGAGCTCAGGAAGGTGATCTCAACCACTGGAGCGGACACATCACCAAACAGAACCCCCTGCCAGAAACAACCAAATGAAAAAGTGCCAAAAGCTGCCACCAAGCCCTCGGAAAAGTTCCAGGGCCCGGGAAAAGTAGCCCTGCAAATTGGCAAGCAGCGATTTTTACAAACAGAACCCCGGCCTCCTTTTGAAGGAACAGTCCGGAAACTCAACCCAATCCAACCCAAACCAACCCCCCCCCATTCCCTACCCACCCACCCACCCAACCCCCCCCCAACTCAAACCCAACCCACTCAAACCCAACCCAACCCCCCCACCCATCCCCCATTCCCCCCCCCATTCCATCCACCCAATCCAACCCAACTTCAACTCAACCCCCACCCCCACCCCACCCACCCACCCGGGATCCCGGATCCACACGAAGTCGGAGGCCTTGGCCACCAACTCGCGGGCGGATTTGGTGTAGAAGGCGGCGGTCTGCTGGGCCTCCTCCGACAGCTCCGGCAGAATGCGGCGCAGCGTCTGGAGGTCCTGACGTGTCGTGGAGGGCGCACGGGTGGGGGAGGGGAGATCGGGGAGAGGGTGGGGGGGGTGGAGGGTGAGGGAAGGAGGCTTGGCGGGATTCATACCCGTATTGTTTCGGGAGAGCCAAAACTTTTGTTTGGCCTCCAAATACGACGACCAAACCTCAAAAGCCTCAAGTCCAGTTGACTTCAACAAGTGAGCCAAGGACAGCCCACCATTTTGGGGACGTCCCCTCGGGTTCCACCGCTGATCCGCGCCTCTTTGTGCAGATCCTCCGCCTCTGCCAAGAGCCGTGCCAAAGCCTCGTCGGCCGCGGTCCAAGGGGCAGCTGTCTTTCAGGCTTTCAGGGGTCACTCTAGGGGTTGATTCCAATTCCATTGTTTTCAACCATCGTTCTTTTCAAAAACCGGCTGCTTCCCCTGGGTTTTTGATGGCTTCCTGAAAACATTCGAATCCCTGGAAAGAATAAAAAAGGAAGGTACCCCTAGGTTCGACGGATTTCCGGGGGCGGGAGGGCGAAAAGAAACCCAAATAAGCCTATTAGGAAAACCACTCCAAAACAATACCCTGAAAAACACAAGCCCCATATTTGGAGCTTAGTTGTACAACACTAAACCGGAAAGTTTTTGCGGGCTCCCCCACCCCCAACCCTTCCCCAACCCTTCCCCAACCCTTCCCCAACCCTTCCCCAACCTTTCCCAAACCCTTCCCCAACCCTTCCCGAACCCTTCCCTAACCTCTTCCTCCCCAAACCTCCCCCAATTCTTTCTCCCAACCGGCCCCACCACTCTCCTCGATGTAGGCGTCCAGCATGTGGTCCGTGACCATGGTGGGGGACAGCTCGATGTGCTCCAGCGCCGCAGCCTCCTCCTACCCGCCAAATCGTATCGACGACCCGATTTGGGGTGGAACAGCTTCACAACCCAGGATATGCTTGCAAAAAAAACGACTGGCTGCTTTTTGCTGCAGTAAAGAACCTAAACATGAGCAGAACCGGAAAAAAACAAGAGAGAGAGAGAGAGAGAGAGAGAGAAGCATGATCCAAGAACCATGGCTCTATCGTTGTCAAGCCCTCTTGAGGCCGCTTCCCCGGGCTTTCCAGGGGCCTTGCTCCCAAGTGCTTCCCTTTTGAAAGGTCCCGGTCCCCTTCGATTCGCTTTGGGCCTTCGATTCGCCCCTTGGCCCCTGACAGTGAGAGATCAGTACCCGAAATGGTCCGGACACTTCGTGTCCGCTATTCAAACCTTCATTGAGAAAGCCATCAGACAGGGACGGACCCGAACATCAACTTGAAAGCAGAGGCGCTCGGTTGAAAACCGTTTCGAAGAGCTGGGTGGCTCCGAGTCAAGTCACCTTTGCTACTGTAGATGGTTGCAAAAGCCATAAACCGCACCACGGGGGGAAACCATGGTTGAAACCATGACGTTTGTTGGTATTTACAGGTGAATCATCGCTCCAGAGGTTCTTAGGCGGTGCAAAATGGATTTCGCCCATCCACAGTAGGCTTCAGTCGGAGAAAGAGTTTGTTTCCAAAAGATCTGAGGGCAATCATGCCCAAGAGCACAAGCTCTACGGGCTCTACGAGGTGCAACTTTCAGCACAAAAACCAGGGGCCTTTAGCCGTGTCAAATCGCCCCATGGGCCCAAACGAATTCCCCTGGAAATGTCCAGGATCCTCAAGTTTACAGGACCTTAATGGGGAAAACGGCTCGTACCCCCCCCCCCCCCCTTATTCGTTTCCTCCCGCACCCCTTTGCCACATGTTGCCAAAGTGTAGGTTGAAAGAACAACCCCATCTGACTTTGACAACCCAACAAGAAGCAGCCATGAAAACAATCATGACTTCGATGCAGTCATCAAAAACATATGACCGTCGCCAGAACCCATGACTAAAAGAATCTATGACCCCAAAAACCCACGACTAAAACAAGTATGACCCCAGAGCCCATGACTAAAAAACGTATGACCCCAGAACCCCATGCTTCCATTTGGTTAAGACCCCTGCAAAAAATAAATAAATCCAGTAGTGATAGATTCCCTTAAAAACCAACAGGGGAAAAAAACATCTTAAGCAAATGGAAGCATGGCTTGAAATCTACGACCCCCGAACCCATGGCTCACCTCGCCTGGGTGGCCCCGTAGCCGCATTCGCTGGGAGAGCGGTAGAGGTGCACCACGAAGCCGGGGATGCGCAGGGGCTGGATGTGGCCGTACTCCGCCTCCACCTCGAAATCGTTTTTCCGCGGCGATTTCGCTGCGATCGGAGCGAATCATGCAAAAATAACAACGGCCCAGGGAGACGGTTCTGGCTTCCAGGTGATTGTTTTGCGCCCCCTGGGAAAAAAGGACAGAAAATATGTCCAGTAGTGGTAGCGTCGCTTGAAAACCAAGAGCGGAATATACATATATATATATATATATTAAAAAACAAAAACTGAAACGCAAATGGAAGCTGGGAAGGTGGGGCTTGATGCACGCTGACAGTTCTTGGACACCCTTTGGACACTTCTTGGAAGGACGAAAACCCGTTGAAACGACGAAGGATCTGGACTCGGCGGAGTGTCAGTTTCATCTGTCCTTTCCCAGGCCCTGGACCTGCGGGGCTTAAAAGCGGGCAAGCCGCGCATGGGTCGAGCAAGCCTCCCCAGACTCAAAGCCGCTGGGTCCCAGCCTTTCACCTCCCAAGGCTGAACTTGGTTTTCCCCCAAGCTCGGGCGAATGTATTTGCCACCGAAACTCTCCGAGAGTTGTCACTAACATCCTCCCACGTTATCGAAAAGCGCCCTGCCGGTTCACCAAACGCCCTCTCATCTTTTACGGCTTCAAGGAAAAAGACAAACCGCCGGCATGGTTCGGCGTGGCGGATGCCAAGAAAGGATAGAGGCTCCCCGATGATGAAGGGGAAATGAAGGGAAATGCGGAGCAATGCGGAGCAATGCGGAGCAATGAAGAGTTCTTCTTTGGGAAGGCAGGGCAATGAAGGGAAATAAATGAAGGGAAATGAAAGGGAGATGAAGGGGACACAGGGGAAATGAAAGTGAAATGCAGGGGAAATGCAGGGATCATGCAGGAATCATACTTTAAAAAACATGACATAACAATCATGATAATTCTAGTTCTACTTCCACTACTACTACTACTACTACTACTACTACTACTACTACTACTACTACTACTACTACTACTACTACTACTACTTACTACTACTACTACTACTACTACTACTACTACTACTACTACTACTACTACTACTACTACTACTACTACTACTACTACTACTACTACTACTACTACTACTACTACTACTACTACTACTACTACTACTACTACTACTACTACTACTACTACTACTACTACTACTACTACTACTACTACTACTACTACTACTACTACTACTACTACTACTACTACTACTACTACTACTACTACTACTACTACTACTACTACTACTACTACTACTACTACTACTACTACTACTACTACTACTACTACTACTACTACTACTACTACTACTACTACTACTACTACTACTACTACTACTACTACTACTACTACTACTACTACTACTACTACTACTACTACTAACTCCTCTTCCTCCTCCTCCACCACCTCCTCCTCCTCCTACTACTACTAGCAATATTTACTAAATTATTAGCAACACTATCTTGATCATGATGCATGTGGGTGTGTCTTTTGTGAGGCTGCCCTTTTGTTGCGGGGTGTTCATCGTATTATATGACCGGTGTGCGTTTTTGTTCTCAGGCTCGGTCGCCTTTTCAGGAGAGAAACCAAAGAACAACTGTCCATTTTGGAGGTGCTTCCGTGTTAGACACACACCTAACTTGTTTCAACCACCTTTTGGTGTTGTCAGGGACTAGGGTCTGGTTGACGCACATGTCGCCCAAGCATGGCCGCCGGTCCCCCCCTCAGAGGCCCTCAGAGGTCCCCCCTCCCAACTGAAAAAGCGAAAAGGCCACTTTCCAAGAGGAATTCCACCCCCGCCCCGGCAAGCCCCAGCCACCCCCGGCAACCCCCAGCCCCCCCCAGCACCCCGCCCCCCCCCCACCATCCCGCCATTTATCACTCCCGCGCGCAACAGCTCGGCCTCCTTCAACTCTTTGGACTTCTCCAGCTGCGCCCTCCACAAGGACTCCAGACGCTCCTCCAAAGCGCGAGGCTCTTTACATTGGAAGAGGATCTTGGCTGGAATTAGGACCCCAGCAAAAAAAACTATATATATATACTTTTGCCTGGTTAGTGGAAAACAAAAGAGAACCCCAAAAAAGCAAAAAAGCAAAAGGGGGGCTAATTCTGGGGAAGGGATAAGACTGAAAATGAAGTAATTACTCTCACAATCTTCTAGCTCTTCCTCTTCTTCTGCCTCTTCTTCTTCTTCTTCTCCTCCTCCTTCTTCTTCAACCGTGTGGTTTTGTGTTAGCGTTGCTATGATATGATATTCTAGTCTAATCTATCTAGATAAGGTGGGGGGGTTGGGGGTGGGGGCTGGGGGCAGTCCAAGCATGGGGCAGCGGACTCATTTTGTGTCCAAAAGCGTCCAACTTTCGCCCCCAGAGATGCGGCGGATGGCGCTGAAACTTTCGTGAGTCGAAGCTCCAAGCCAGTGGGACTGTGGATGAATAAGCTCCCCTGGTAGAGACAAGATCAGGGTAGGTGTCCTTTTCGGTTGAAAATGGAGGACCCTGGCAGTTGATTGAACCACCAGGCAAACCAGGAATCGCCCAACCTATTTTTCAACCAAAGCAACCAGAAAGGACACCTATGATCTGGTTCATTCCGGGAGAAAGCCCACCTGCCAAGCCAGCACCCTCACCTCGCCCAAGTCCACCACCCCATTTCACCCTAAGAAAGAGGGCACACGTACGCAAACCACGCCCCTATCGCATGGGAGGACCGGTTCCCAAAGCGACGTCCTGTCCATCCCCTTGTTCATGCTGAGCGGCACTGTGCGGGAATTGAGTAAGAAGCAAAAAGGGCAAGGGCATCACCCTCACCTAGCCCAGGGTTTTCCCATTTCACCCTAAGAAAGGGGGGCGAAACAACACCAGGGTCTTCGCCAGGGTAGGGCACCCCTCAGGCTCGCCCCCAAAGGCTCCCATAAACTCGGCGAGGCGCTCCTCGAGGGGAAGCCCAAAGGCGTAGTCCCCATACTCCAGCACCCAGCCTGGGGAGGAAGGCGGGGGGGGGGGGGGGAAGGGGAGGGGGAGGAAGGAAGGGGAGGGGGGAGGGGGGAAGGGGAGGGGGGAGGGGGGAAGGAAGGGGAGGGGGAGGGGGGAGAGGGCAGGAGGGGGGGGGGGGAAGGGGGGGAGGGAGGGAGGGGGGGGGGAGGGAGGGGGGAGAAGGAGGGAGGGGGGGAGGGGGGAGGGGAGAGGGCAGGGCGGGGAGGGGGGAGGGGGGAGGAAGGGGAGGGGGGAGGGGGGAGAAGGAAGGGGAGGGGGGAGGGGGGAGAGGGCAGGAGGGGGGGGGGGAGGAGAAAGGTAGGGAGCCGGGGGGGGGGAGGAAGGTAGGGAGGGCGGCAAGGATTTTTGTGGTGTGCCATATGCCATACAATGTATGTCTCATGATGAAAGAGCTTTCATGCGCGAAACAAGGTGTCACCAAAGGGCAAACAACAAGGTGTCAATTTCAGGTACCCTAAGTGCAACTCCCAGTGTATCCCAGCCAACTACCCTTAGAGTAGGTAACCAGCTATCGTCCAGCGGATTTCGCAACCATCCCACAGTACTGCACCAGGTAAATGGGTCTTGTTGTTCTCCAGGGAACCCTGGTGGCTTGAAAGGGAAACCAAAACCATACCGGGGGGGGGGGGGCCCACAAAAAAAAACACCCAAATGGATATCTCCCCCCCCCCAAACCAAAAAAAACAAGCAAGAAAAGATTCCCTCGAAAAATCCAACACACAGACTAAATGGATCGGGGAGCTGCTTCTTTGGCAGGCCCTTCCTTGCACGGGCCTTGTGGGTCCTGGCGCAAGTTCCGCACCATCTCCAAGGCCCGCGGCAGCCAATTGTAGGACCCCACCTTTCCAGGGAATTCAAATCCAAGCCAGAAACATTCCATACTGCGAACGGACAAAATCCTCTTAGGCACCACTTGGAAACCATGGGAAACCATTGCCTGTTGGCATTTACAGAGGAATCATCATTCCACCGTTTCTTAGGTGGTGCAGGATGCCGTCCATCCACCCCAAAAAACTGGAATTCCAAAATGGGTTGCCCTGGTAAGTGGAAACAAGGACCCAAAGCCTGCGGTTTGCCCCTCTTGTTTCATTTGGCGCCACACGTAATTAACTCATCTGGGGTTGTCTCAAAAACGGGGGAAAAAACGACAAAACTCGGTCGAAAAACTGCCACCGAAGTCCTTGGAAGCCTCGGGCCACTTTCACTCACTTGAGTCATAATCAAAACCGATCGGTAGAAAAATGGTGAACCCAGAACCATGCTTCAAGAAATCGAAAGGCGGATATCCGCAACTATTTCCGGCTGGGTCTTTCCCTTACTAACCTTCTACCCAGGTTTTGATTGTGGCTCACTTGAGTGGATGGGGTCTAGATCAATCCTGCTTCTCAAAATTCCGATCGGAGGACTCAAGTCCGAAGCCCGGGCCCCCGAAGCAAGACAAGTGCCGCTCGGTGAACCCTTGCTGGGATGGTTCGGAGGGAAACCAAAAGGACATCAGATGTTTGCTTGTTTTGTTTACTCTTTTTTTTTCTTTTTCTTTTTTCGGGGGGGGAAGGGGAGGTCCGAATCCCCAAATGTTAAAGCCCCTTGCAAATCTAGTGGTTGGTCCAAACTACCATTTACTGATGAGAGGCAGGGTCCAAAATATGGACTACAAAAAGGGGGCGTGGTGCAGACGACGCGAGGCATCTTTGAGTTGTGCTAAACCAAAAGTGTCCCTCAGAGCGCCTTGTCTTTTTGTTGTCGGCGCCATGTCTCAAGACAGATCATTTCTCCCAAGCCCACGAGTTGGTTGGAAACGGGTCAAGGATACTTCTAGAGGATGGCGAGCTCAATGGAATCACAAATTGGTGCGTGGTCCAAGCAAAGGCAATAAGGCTGTCCAGGAACCCCAAGAAAAATCTAAGAAACCCTAAGGAAGCCTGAGGAACCCTAAGGAACCCTAGGGCTCTCAACTACCCACCCCCCTTGTACCTGCCCCCCTTGGGGAGTCCATGATAGTTTGATTATTGTTTTGTTTCTTCAAAATCAGCCCAGGTGGGACCCCCAGCCCCAGAACCCTCTGGACCCCTAAGAGCTGCTGGGGTTTGCCCACTTGTTCACCTTGGCTCGGAAACAAAAGGAAACCAAACCCATGTTGGGGGTCTACCCCTCTAAGTTTATAGATCCAGGCCCGAATCCCCTAACAGAAACCAACAGAATGGGCAAAGGGGATGCACCATGTTGAGGGTGGTAAACCCCATGGTCACAAGAGAAGCATTTGGATCACCATGTGAAAAAGAAACAATAAAATAAGAGGTCGTGCCAAGCCTCCCCTCAAAAATGTGAGAAGTGGGGCGTGTGTTGTTGCGCGGTTGTTTTTGTTGTGTGCTTGTGTTGTGTTGTTGTTTGTTTCTTCTTTTGTTTTATTTTTTTGGGGGTGGGGGGAGAAGAACCCCGGTGGTTGTTGCTTTAATGAGAAGCCAACAGGACACCCGTTCGGCCATTTTGGGACCCGGGCTCGAATCCTCCAAAAATATGAACACCCAAGTAACCAAGACTGCACAACCCTTGGTATGGTTGCAAAAAAAGTTGGTTTGCCGCCCCCTGCTAAAACTGAACAGGACAAAAATACAAAACAAACAAACAAACAAACAAACAAACAAACAAACAAACAAACAAACAACTTGATCCAAGAAGAAGAAGAAGAAAAGCCCTTGAGAAATGGGCTAGGACTCGGACCCACCCTCGCTTGAGCTGGTTATTTTTCGGTGTGTTGGGCTGTTGTAGGTTGAGCTTAAAGATTTGGCTGTGCGTCAGACATAGAGCAACCTCAAAATGGGTTGCCCTAAATGGAAAGGACTAAACCTGCGACCCCCTTGTAATTTAATTCTTGGTCTGCGGTTTCCCCCAAAGCTCCAGGGTATCTCTGGTAGGGACTCCATCCGCATCCCCCTTCGGCGTCCCCGGCGTCATGGTACAGCTGCAGCAGGGACCGGATCTGCATGCGGGGGATGACGTCGTCGTCGTGCACCACGCTGGTCACGTAACCTTTGCCTCAGATCCGCGTGGGTCGCTTTTCTTGCTGGTGCCATAGGTAGGGAATGACTTTCCGAGTCCGGGTGTGGGGAATGAACCGGTTTTGGGGATTCCCTGCGAGGAAACCATAGGACATGGATGGCTTTTTCCGGGGTCATCCCAATTCTCATTCCCTGCTGAGAAACAGCAAGTCTTTCCTCGCCATGGCCCGGCTTCAGAACTCCCATCGGCAGCTCTGAAAGAACCGCTCCATGCAAAAAAATGGATGCCACACCGCAGCTCCAAATCCTGCTGCCTTCCAGCTGACAGCGATCCGGTGATTTGATCTCTCCGCGATCTTCAAACATCGGATGTTTTCAAGCCGCTCTCCAAGGCTGGTGTTGCTGGTTTTCTGGTAGAAGGATCCCTGAACTCATGAACTCACAATGAAGTTGCCCTTTTTCGCGCTACCCTTCATGGGTCCGAGGCCACGTTTTAGCTTCAAGGTGAGACGCGTCCATCCTCGTTCTTTGCCCGAGAAGGAAGTCAAGGAGGTATCATGTACATGTTTCTGGGCGAATTATATTTGTAAACCCAGGTTTCAGCTACGCGCCTTTTTCTTGAACACAAACGGCTTCCAGATGTTCCTAGACTCCTCCCAGTGCCTTGCCGATAGGCTCGCACTGCTCAAAACGTTGCCCTCTTTTCGGGCTAAGACAAAACGTCGCCCCAAGCCGCGCTGAACCTCTCCTCTCCTGCAATTCGCGCAGGGCCAGTAGGTCACTCCTCGCCCCGCGCACGTCGACAGCACATGCCACAGGCCATCTCCTGTGATGCGCACTGCTCCCGGATGAACGAAGAGCAGCCTCCTGAAATCCGGGGTGGTGCATACCGGGCACGGCAGGGTCTCCATGACCCGAGCTGCCCTCCTCAAGCCGTAGCAGTTCTCGCGGGCATGGTACTTCTCGCCCGTCATGGTGTAGAACACGCTAGGCTCCACCGGGACTCCATCGTCCTCCGACTCAGGCTCGGAGTGCCTTGGTGACCACTCCCTGCGGCCCTCGATGCTGGGTTGACATCAGCACCGGCTCCGCTCCATCCTGCCTGGGGTTCCGACCAAGGCCGTAGGTCCCTGCCAGGATCTGTCGCCTGTTTGCCCGTCCCCTTGTTGTAGCCCTTGTTGTACCCCTTGCTGTATCCCTTGGAGTAGCCCTTGGTGACCGCGACCCAATCCACATTCCGTGTCGCTGACACCCTCGGCTCCGTAATCGTCTTTCCCATTCCCTTTGCCATAGGTGGTGCCGCCGTTGTTCTCTTGGCTGTAGCCCCCAATTCACCCGAACCAGTCCCGGCCTCGGATGAGGACCTCACCGGATCCGGCCCAGATCCCGTATCCAATCTCGTCGAAGATGGTCGTCTTGTCATAGAGCTCGGCTCCTCTGCCACCGAAGAAGAAGGCCTCGGTGTAGCCCCGCCCCACATAGTCCTCCTTGTAGAAGACCCTCTAGTCGTTGATGATGACGCAGCCACCTCCTCCGTTTCCTCGACCTTCTCTACTCGCATGCCAGGAGAGGCTGAACGAGCTTAAAGGAAGGCCTGCCTGGGCGTGCTTAAAGTATAGTTTTTGGAGGTGAGCAAACTCAACGCACGGATCTGAAGATCTGATCCTGGCTGTGTAGAGCGCGCGAGTGATAAAGCTGCTGCACCAAGCGGGGATTAGTCTCCAACACAGCGCGCGCTCAGGATTTTGAAGACACGCGCGTGAAATAGGCTACTTAACCTGCAGAAAAGTGCGAGAATTGGGGGAAGAGGCGGGCCGAATTTCGCTCAGCTGCCACGCGCGTGCAACCCAAAGCTCGCGACGCCTGACGGAGGCGGGCTCAGAGCGCACATTTCCCAGATTAACTCGCCCAATTTTTGCCCCACGGTACCCAGCTCCGTTTACCAAATTTACACAAGGATTTCCCACGGCGCCTTTTGGCCCACGAACTCCTTTTTTGAAAGCAAGTTGGTCTTGGAGCTTATACATTTAGTTTTTCACTACCGGTCAAGTCGTGCTTCGAATCCTACATTGCAGAGGCAGTCATTCCGTTGGACGTGCGCAGCGCATCCAAGTAAACAGAACTTCGAACGAATAAATGTAGAATTTGCTTTCGCTTGAGTTTTGCTGCACCCGGTGGACACATGCAGCAAGTCGCAGCAAACTTGAGAAGCGTTTGAAGTCCCAAAGAATTTGTTTTCAATGCTTGAGTGTCATCAGGCTCTGCGCGTGCACTTCATGCGTCGCACCCGCAGCCATTTTGTTAACGAAATTAGACACACGCAACATGCCAGAGCAAACTAAAATCCGTGCAAATCCCAAAGTTCACGTTAGCTTGAGTTGCTGCAGCCGTTGGACACACACAGCAAGTCACAGAGCAAGCAAGAGAACGCCATTTAAATCCCTAAAGAATTTTCTGCAGGAGTTTTGTTGCAAACTCGTTTGAAGAAGAGAACAACTTTTTAGCTGAGCTCGCGCATGCGTGGCCTTGGATTTATAAGCACTTGCAGGCGCTCGCGTGGAGCGCGTCGCTGGATCGCAGGCTTGAAGAGCATGCTCCTGCAGGAGCGGGCGCAGGCACGCCCACCCCCGGCAGCATTTGTGGATTCATTTTCTTGGAGCGCGTCATGCGCGCGCCCGCATGCATTGTTCGGCTTTTGTTGCTCAAGCATGCTTAAGTTGGGCAGCTATGTAACTAGGCTGCGCCGAAAGCGTGCAGAGCGGGCGGACCAGCTCTTCCGCGCGCTGGCGCGCTACTCGAGCAGCCACGACCACCTGGCGGTCACCGGGGAGCTTTTTCCCAGAGGGAATTTGAAAAGCCGTCAGGTGCAAGAGCAGCTGCGGTTCCTTGCAGACTTCAGCGGCCGGTTCTTCACGCGCCGCGTGTGTGTCCGAGCGGTGCTGCTTCTGCTCACTGAGCTGCAGATCCAGCCACCCAGGCAGGAGACCGCTGAGGAGTGGTCCAAGCGACAGGCGTCTCGCCTCCAACTGCTTGCGAAGCGGACAAAGGCGCTGGCCCGCGCCCGCTCGCGCGCCATGGCGCTTGACGACATGGAAACCTTGCCTTTTGCCAGGCTCTCAAAACTTGCCCTTGCTCATTGCATGCTCGCGCACGCGCGTGATTGACCCAGGAGCCCGGGGACCACTCCTTGGCGGTTCAGGACGCGCCTTAGAGCGCTCTGTTTCTTGGTTCATTGGTATTCCTTTTTCCCGCAGCTCAGGACCACGTCAGAGCCCCCGCGGACTGGGAAGACGATGCCCAGGCCTGCACCCTTTGCACCCCTTCGTTGACTTTGTAGCTTTTCTTATTGCTCGCCAGGAGCACGAGGACCACCTCAACACGGCCGACCCTTATTTTTTCGCTTTGTTTGCAGAAGTTTTGCCAGGACCAGGAGACCCGGGCGACAGCTTGGGAAGATGGCGAAGCCTGGCGCTCGACACTCCCATCTTCTCCATTTCCCTCCTTTTATTGGGCCGGCTTGCCAGGAGAACAAGGACAAGCCCTACCCGGCCTCAGCCTCAGCGTCAGCGTTCGTCCAGTTTATTTGCTTTTTAAGTTCTTTGCAGGTAGACCGTGGCTTTCTCCAACACGATGCTGCGACTGCCATGGGCTCAGCTTACGCATCTCCAACCCTTTTCTTTTGCAGCGCAGGACCACATGGCCCCAACGACGCATTGGGAAGACGATGGCCAGGCCTGCGTGCTAATTGCTCGCTTTGTCTATTTTGTGGCTTGCAGGAGGAGACCTGGTGGAGCGAGGAGCCCGTCCGTTTCTCGCACTCCCTTGTTTCTGGGCGCTCCCCTTTTTGTTTTCGTTGTTGAAATTGGGTCTTTGGAGGTTTCTAGGTTTGGGCGGCCGAATCGTCGTGCTAGTGGCGAGCGGTACCCGGTCCTTTCTCCGCGGCGTAAGCTCTTAAGCTCTTCGCGCGGCCCGAATGTCCCCGAAATTTTGCCGAAATTTTGGGGGGGCTCTGCGGAGCTTCGCTCAAAGCTCTCGCGGCATAACCCTGCCAAGTTTTCCCGAATTTTGGGCCGCCTCCGGCGACCCGGCTTTTAGATCTCCGGGCCGGCTCGCCAGCCAGGAGAACGAAGACAAACCCGACGCGGTCGCCTCGGCACCAACCGTCGGCCGTGACGCTGCGTTTGCTTTGTGATTGTTTGTAGGCAGAGCATGGACATCCTCAACAGGATGCCGCAACTGCCATGCCGTCATCTTAAGACTCCTCTTTTTTCAAGCAGCCTTGCCAGGACCATGGGCCCCGGCCAAAGATGATGGCCAGGCCTGCGCCCAAATTCCGCACACGATTGTGTTTTTTTTTGCGCGGCTTTTGCAAAGGAGACCTGGTGGAACGAGGACTCGAGCCCCTCCGTTTCCGCAATTCATCTTTTCGGCCTCCCCCCCTTTAAAATTTTGGATCTGCAGGTTTTGGGGGTCGATGATCCGGCTCGCCTGCTAGGAGAACGAGGACGCGGCCTTGGCCTCGGCACCAACTGTCGGCCGCCACGCCATCTTTACTTTTTTTTCAAGCGGCCTTCATTGCCAGGACCGCTTCGCCCCGGCCAAAGACGATGGCCAGGCAATTCCGCTCACATTGTTCCTTTTTGGCGCGGCTTTTGCAGAGGAGACCTGGTGGAGCGAGGATTTTGCAGAGGAGACCTGCAGGAACGAGGAGCTTTTCGTTCCTCATTTTTTCTGCCCCCCCCCTTTTGGGGTCGATCCAAGCTAGGAGAACGAGGACAAGCTCCACGTAGCCTTGGCCTCGGCACCAACTGTCGGCCGCCACGCCTCCATCTTCACGTAGCCTTTTTTTCAAGCGGCCTTGCCAGGACCACTTGGCCGATGGCCAGGCCCGCGCCCCAATTCTGCACATGATTGTGCCTCTTTTGGCGCGGCTTTTGCAGAGGAGACCTGGTGGAGCGAGGATTTTGCAGAGGAGACCTGGTGGAACGAGGAGCTTTTCGTTTCCCTAACTTGTTTTTTCTGCCCCCCGCCCTTTTG